TAGCAGATTAAGGTCCAGGACTCAGCTTAAAATTTTTGCCCAGCTCAGATTGTGGAGAAAATTGACCTTTAAGCTATAAAACTTACTTTTCACTGATGAAAAGGAAATATGACCTGGAAAGAAGCCGCAGAAGTGAAAGTAAAAATCAGTATCATTATTTATTTATTTATTTATTTATTTTTTTAGTGAAAATGAGCATATCCTAAATTAATAGTTTAAATTATTTAAACTTAGAGGACTAATTAGTCTGCTCGGGCTGCCATAGCAAAATACCACAGATTGTGTGGCTTTAACAAGAGGAACTAATTTCTTACAGTTCCAGGGGCTGGGGAGTTCAAGATCAAGGTGCTGGCCTATTTGGTTTCTGAGGAGAGCTCTCCTCCTGGCTTGCATAAGCTTCCTTCCTACTGGGGACTCACATGACACAGAGAAAGCGAAAAATGGAATCTTTTCAATGAAGATCATTCATTCTTAGAGTCAGAAAATGTGCAATTGAAAAATTTCATTTAGAAAATCTGGAATAACAATTACAAATCATTAAGAAAAGTCAGCCTGGGTATTTTCCTTTAAAAACAGCCTTCTGATGGGCTGCTGCTCCTCCATCTGGAACTGGGAGAGGAGTCGGTGACTGGCGCTGGGCATCCATGTGGACTGGTGGGGTCCTCAGGGCAGCCGCTGGTTTGTAAGGTTTCCTTTGGCAGGTGAGCTGCAGTGCGTGTCTGAGAAGCTGCCCCTCTGGGAGGTGCAGGGGTGGGACAGTCTCTCACTCCCTCTTTGTGTCTCTCATAGGGGTGAAGAAGAGAACCAAAGTCATCAAGAACAACGTGAACCCGGTGTGGAATGAGGTATGCGCGTTTCTTCACCTCCCTCTCCTCTCTCTGCCGCCACTGCCTGTGTAGGGACAAGTCAGGGGCTGGTGCCGGAGGGGCTGGTGGTCCCATGTGCCAACTAAGTCCTCCTGGCGCTTGGAAGCTGGGAGGACGCTGGTGGCCTGGCATGCCAGGCAAACAGAGGTGGGGGTGGCCTGGGGAGGAGTAAGTGTCTATCTCTGTTCCCTCCAGCTCTGTCCGCCAGGTAGAGGGTGGTTAGGGGCTCCCTTGCCTGTCTTGTCTCCCTTACACAGGCCATTCTCCCTGCCCAAAGCCCACCTCTTTCCCACCGAGCTCCCAGATGCACCAGGTCCTCCTCTGGCTCCTGCTGGCCCCTTGCCCTTAACCAGCTCCCTTCACAGGCCTCCCTGGTGGTCCTTGGAGAGCCCTGGATGCCTTCAGTGGATGGGGCTGGGATGGGCAGGGGAGCCTCTGCTCTGAGGAAGGTCCGTGGCCTCTGGCTGGGCCTCCCCAATGTGGCACTAACTCCCGCTGCCCAGCAGGGAGGGGCCTGGCTTCTGATGAGCACATTGGTCTTGGCCCCTGAGGACGCGGCAGGCTCCCCGGGCATTTTCCCCAGCGGTGCTTCTAGGCCTGGTGATTGGTGGAATTGAATTGGGGAGGGGGTTAGGGGAGTCTGGCCTCCTCTCTTCTGTTGCCGTCAGCTCTCACTGTCACCCTGAATCTTTGGGACCCTGCCATTCATGTATTCATTCATTCACTCATTTACCCACCCATCCACCAGCATCATTTATGGATGCCTGCTCAGTGCCCTTGGATGACCAGGGTGAACGAGACAGTCTCTTCTCCTCGGGGGCCATGGGTTAAGGGTGATGTCTTTTCTCCTTTTCTTCCAGGGCTTTGAGTGGGACCTCAAGGGCATCCCCCTGGACCAGAGCTCCGAGCTGCATGTGGTGGTCAAAGACCATGAGACGATGGGGAGGAACAGGTGAGGCGGGCAAGGGGGTCTCTGTGGCCTGCAGGTCCGGGTAGGCTCATGGTGGACATATATCCCACAGTCTGGGCCCGGAGAGCTGGTGTTTCAACTCAGCATTTGCTGAACACCTGCCTCTCCTGGCTGCCTGGCTGCAGCCTCAAAAACTCAGCCCTGGGTAAGTCCGAGCTGCCCAGGCTGCAGGGAAGGTGATGGGCTGGAATCAGGTGTGCATGTGTTTGCACAGACAGCCTGTGGCCAGGGGAGTAGGGAGGAGAAGGCACCCTGTGTCCTGCTCCAGCCCAGGGACACCTGGGCGTGGTTCTCTCTCCTTGCCCTGCCCAGACTGAGAGGGCAGCGGCACACTGCGGGAGGCAGGCAGGCCGCCAGCAGGGAGCTCTCGAGGAGGCTTCATGGAA